TACGCACATACACGCATCTCATATATATATATATATATATATATATATATATATAAATGAAATTTTTGCATTTCTGCTTTTCTTGTAAATCCGCTTTTTTTTGCAGTTTTTGCATTTCTTGTAAATCCGCTTATATTATACTCAATTCGTAGAAATTTAGTCATATATATATATATGTAGGAAGCCTCCCAATAATACGCGTTTCTGCATTTGCGTAAGCATACATAAACAAACAAAAACGTTTTAAAAGACTAAAAATGTCGCCAATGACGGGAAACGAAAGATCTACATGCTTTATTATGTTTGCAATTCTGGAATCCACGATTTTTATACGTTCCTGATAAAGTTTTTGCATTTCTTGTAAATCCGCTTATATTATACTCAATTCGTAGAAATCATAGTAAATGACTAAACAAAACACTGTAATGTATATTGGCTAAAAACCTAACAAGGTCAAGAAACTGACCATAGGTCAATGAGTAGGCTGGCCGAGCAGAATGATCCAACACAACGGCAGCAACCATTCTTGGTTGGGCAGTACCGTGCTTATGCAATGCAGCATCGATCGAGCGTGGAAGATTTGTAGACACTGATGCATGGTCGCCACGTGCCGGACTTATGATTGCGCCTTCCGGACGCGGCGCCAGCGGGTCGACAACCCTCGCCAGAGCTGTAAATTATCCTCTGTCACGCGTTTTTGACATCAAAAGTTAGAGAAATGCTTAAATGCTTTTTTAAAAATCTAATCCCAAATCAATGACATCCTACGAAATGTCTGTACAATCGAAGCGAAAATAAGCAAGCCACATATCTAAACACTTTACTCTTCATTCTTTATGATAACTTTCGCTCCTGTAGCCGTGCTCTGTTCGACTTTTGTCTTAATTCATATGAATACATTCCAGCAAAGGCTTGGCGTGCTGTGATGTAAAAGACTCGAGCGAGCACATACCACTAACAAGCTGCTTAGGCTACTGGAACGAGCGGCTGCGCGCTAAACACAGTTTCAACTGATCTAAATTCAAAATCAAAACCTTCTCCGTATTTCGCCCTCAGTGAGAGGCGGAGGCACTCGAGAAATAGCCCGAGTGATAGCAAATGCCAACAACAGCCATCCGATGGAAAAGCTGTCGACGGCTCCCTCTTCTGAAGGCAGCTTACAAGCAAGGCTGAAGGTTGCTTGCAAGGGAGTCCTGGCATGTGCTAGCACTAATTTACCATCAAAGCAGAGCGACTGGCTATCCCACAGGTACAGACGAACCTTCGGTCCTACTGCACGACAACAGTGGTACTCCACTGCGCTGTGCCTGTCGGCAGTTGACCTAAATTAACTATAAGAAAGAATAACCTTCTAGTTCCTTATCATCGTCATTGTAATATTCGTGCAACGGCTTCTTCTTCGGTCTCTGCAAACCCATAAGACGGCATTCACGTAAGATGCATGATTCATAAAAGTATCTACAACAATCCAGGTCCGACACTTTGATGGATTTGCCACACCCTACGTCAAGACCCGAGAGCCGTGCAAAAGCGCTCAGTTTTCGCGTTACAAGACTACGCTCATCGCTGAGACGTCCCAGTGATAGCTTCCTATAGGCAGTTGACGGATTGAACTTTTCGACTGCAACCGAAATGTCATTTGTTAACGCGGTGGCCCGTCCCAGCAGTGAATTTCTACGATGTTTCTTCAGCGAACGCCGCAGAGATTCTAACACTGCCTCAAATGGTTCACTTGGCAATTCCGTGGAACTCTCATTGTGCAGA